CACCTAAAACTGTGCCCACCACTCCTGTGAACACAGGACTCAAATGCACTGACACTGCACACAGCACATGGATACTTTCACACAAGGAAATAAGGCTGTATTCTTCTCATGTAGTTACCTGTTCTTGCAAGCCCTAAATTTCTAGCACATGATTTACCTGAGTAAGGACAGAAGTTCCCATCTGTATTGTACATTCACGCAAATTCCCAAAGGAATCAGCAGATCCATCCATCTACTCAGCTGTGCAAAAACTCTGGCACACACTGGCACACAGTGACAAGCACTCCAGAAACAGTCACCCTTGCAGAGAGTGTGGGGGTCCCTCCCAGCAGGCAGCAAGCTCTACTAATAGGACCCACTGAGCACAGCACTCATTGCATCTTGCCTACAAGGTCCCCATCACCTGCAGCTCTAGCTCAGCTCACAGATCCTCTTTTCCAGCAGGTAGGAGAGTCCTGCAGAGAAGTGGACACTCTGCATTTCATAAGTGATTCACACAAGAGGACTATTTGAATCAAGTTCTTGTATCATGTCCACTATGGTCCTTGACAAGCAGCTAGCCAGCATGCTGTGCTGCTGCCCCAGCCCTGGGGACACTGCAGCCTCCCTGAGCAAGGAAATCTCACTCTATATTGCCAGAGCGAGCTCCTCCCCACCTCTCCCTCCCACCACTGGCCTGCAGCATAATCCCACAGGGTTACAGAGGTGCAGGTACCTCAGGAGGGTCTCCAGGTCTTGGGAGGCCAGCTATTTGTGGGGCCAGTGTTTGACTCATTGAAAGGAGACAGGAAGAAAAACAGAGAGCCCAGGAGCACACACACATGCTCTTGGCAGCAAGGCAGAGTGGGGAGCCAACTTTCCACCCCCGCCTGGTCTGCTCTTCCCTTCCCCTCCCATTCCCCCAGCACACTCCTTCAGACCCCTCCAGAGCTTCAACATCCATATATCCCTGCTAACATGTAATGCTGGGCCCTTTAAGACATTTTAAGTTTCAGTTCCTTTCTTCAGAGGCAGAGGAAAAACAAGCCAGCACTGCGGAAAGACTGGTATTTCACTAATGGGGTCCAGATGTCTTCATTCCACAGACTCTGGGTCCTGGCTTGCAAAACAGGGCAGGGAGAGGCTGTGCCCCCGCTCCTTCCAACTCCAGGGGTGCTAGCCTAGCCTGCACCCTCACCCCACCACACACCTTCTCACCCTGCTCTTTCCCCTGTCACCCACAGCTCTGCCACCAGCACTTCCATCCACACAAGACAGATTCAGCTCCTTCCTTGTTCCTTCTGGAAAGCTGCCAGAGCACAGGGGAACTGGGACAAGAGAGCCCACAGGAGTGCAGGGTGGGGCAGACAAAGCCTCCCCCTTTCCTCCCAGAGCTTAAGTAAAGGAAGATCATAGTGTTCAGCCTTTAAAAACACAGGAGAACATTTCAGGAGCTGTAGAAGACACAAGTTCTCCTGAATTGGTGGAGAACTCTGGACAGACATGCAAAGATAACCCTGTGACACAGGACCATGCACTGCAGACAGCTCTTCAGAATGGAGCCAGCACCACAGGACTGAGGCTTGGGATGGGAATCTCCATGCTCAAGGCTCTCCAAGCTGCCCCTCAAATGCCTCAACTTTTAGCCTGACTGAACTATGGAGTCCAGGTGGACATTTCTTCCTTATTGGGATGGGAATCTCCATGCTCAAGCCTCTCCAAGCTGCCCCTCAAATGCCCCAACTTTTAGCCTGACTCAACTATGGAGTCCAGGTGGACATTTCTTCCTTTCTCCCTCACAACAGACAGTGATCAAGGAGTTGAACTTGGGGAAGAAGCAACTAAAAACATGTGTCCCTTTCCCCCCAGCTCCCACTTAGTTGAAGACAAAGGCTCCTTTCACAGAGGCAGCTCAGACCTCATCAGCACTGGTTCTCCTGTGTGTAAGGGACCAAGGCTGGCAGGGGACTGTTTTCATTAGACAGCTCTACCTCTTGCTATGCAGAAGGAAAACGGTGCAGGCCTCCAGTTGCTATTGACCCCTAAGGCTGCCCTCCCTTAAGAGGGAAGGGAGGTCCAATCCCCAACCCAGGCAACTGGAATCTATCAACAGTTTACACATCCCCACTGCAGCCCTCCCTCCCACTCCCCAGGGAAGAACAAGGAGTTCTGATCATCTGTATTACAGATAGAGCAGCTGGCTTTGATTAAACTACTTGATGTTTATAACCACTCAACCTGCATATGTGACCTAGAGGAAAGTGAAGCCTCCCCAAGCAACTCTGACTACAAAGGGCAGGGGTCTTACAGCAGAGACACTGATTTAGCGAAAGACATTTCAATGCCTGGTTCTTTAATTAGGAAATTGCTGCCTGCTCATCCATAGCAGCACAGCAGTCTCCATGCAGAAAGTGATATTTAGAGGCTGATTCATCACCATATTTGTCATCATTTCCACCTGCTGAGAATGAAATGGGCCCACTGATAACAAACTAGCCAAGAAGCCAGGCCTAGCTGCAGCTCTCAGGCTCACTACTGTGTGCCTCAGAACACATGAGGGACACAAGCCACAATACAAGGCAAAGCAGTTTCTTTATTTGCAATAAGAAACTCCAATCAACTCAATGCATGACTACATCACACCAGGTGTTTTTCATCCCCAAATACATTGAGTGGGGCTAACCCTTTTGATCATGTCCTTACCAAAACCATCCAGCTCTTCTTCCTCTTTTCAAAGTAATCAGAAGATAGTAACCTACCTTTGTTTTGCACAGGAAGCAACACACTGTTGGCAATGATAATTTCAGCTGGGACAGTTCTGTCCACTTATATCATTTCCCACTGAAGCAGAAAGGCACCACAGCACATTACCAGAATTCCTAATATTCAAGAAGCTCTACAGAATAGGTCCATGTTCCCATCAGTGATATTCCACACAGCTGTACTTTTGATCAGCAGTACTCTAACCATTCACAATTCAAACAATTTTACAAGTGATGTGATAACTGGCATGTTCAATATAGAAACATTTTAAAAAGACATAACTGCTTTGCAGGTTTAACAACTGAATCCTGGAGTGGTTAAGTGATTTACTCAAAGTTAGAAGGAGCCAGCACCTGAGCTACAGCTTCAGGTCCACAGCTCCTATTGCTATGCTCAGAAAGGAGATAGCTTTTTTCCTGTGACCAGGAGAGATCCATTAAAAACCTCTGCCATAGTCCTTCAGGAAACTCATCATAGCTTCCCCACAAATACCAAAAAATCTGAATCTTGGAATTAACCCATCACCCCCTTGATCACAGCTGCCACAGCAAGACAAATAAAGGTCAAACTCATTCCAAGTGTCTGTCAACTTTCTGCTGAGCCAGGGCTTCAAGCATAGATGTTAATTCTTGTGTGTCAAAAAAGCCACGTTCACATCAATTCAGAAATGCTCAGCAGTGCTGAGACCACAGGGAACCCGGCCCAAGGATGGTTTCAGCTTGTGTCACAAGCTACAGACAGTGCTCAGAAGATCCACTGTTAACACCTTGTGAACCAAAACCCTTATCCTCATCAGATACCCAAGACTCAAGTCATGGAGTTGAGCTACTCACCTCATCATCCTTGTACCAGGAGAGGTTCTCTGCTGTCAGGACAAACCAATACTCCTTGGAGCCACCCTTCATGATCCCAATGTTGTTGATGGTGAGCCAGCCCTTTCGGATGACCTACGGAGGTGGAAGCAGTGAGCATTATCGAGGGCCCTAAAAGCCTGGCTTTAGGTGACAGAGGATAGACCAGAGTGTACCCCTACACACAGAGTAGTATGGAAAGACAAGGAACACCGTGCTCTCTGCTGCTGCCAGAAGAGCCCCCCACTCAACTGGCCAGTGAAGGTCTTTGCCTCAAAAGGGCCAGGAATAGTATAAAAAGGACGCAGGAAGGAACCTGGCAGTGCTATGCATTATACTCTGCCAAGAGGAAAGGAATGCATGAAGAACTGCATCAAGAGTGCCTTGGACACTGGTACAACCTCCAAGCACCAGATCACAGCAACACACCCAGAAAAGGCCATGCCTAGAGAAAACCAGGACACCAGCACACTGCATGTGTGGAGTGCTTCACCCAGACTAGGGTGGGGTGAACCAGTTCAAGAAGAGGAGATGGGCAAGCAACCCAGAAAGAACTGAGTTTAGTAAAAAGGAGACACTAAGTATAAGAGAACAAAATGGTGCATCTGGAATTAGTACCCTGGACTTCAGTATACCCAGGTATTTGAGTAGTCATGTTAATATAAAGCAAAACAAGTTCCTTTAAGTTTAGTCTGTAAAGAAGCCAAGCTATTACCCTCTAGGGAACTCCAATTCACCAAGTGCTGGTTTAGAACCTCACACTAATTAAATGCAAGTATATGTCAAGCTTATATGCATTAGCTTTTATATGTATTACTGCACTGTTAACACCCAAAAACATCTGCATGCATTAATGCACATGTACCTTGTCGTATGGATTTGCTTGTTGAAAACAACCTGGCATTGAAAAACCATGTGACTGCATTGCATACTAGCAAGTGGCACTGTGTGAGCAGCCTGCCGTGGAGGTACACAATCCTTTTAATTGTCAATTTACCCTATAAAGGTAAACGTAGGATCATTGGATCTTCACCTCATGTCTGCTGCTAAACTCGAGATAGTCCTATTCTGTCTGTGGACAGGAGGGGGCAGCGAAACAGAACCACACATCCTTGGATCACTGCTTTTTATCCACCCACTCACAAGATGTACCAGCAGTTCTGAATTTCTCCTCAACATACTACTGTTTCACCTCATTTCTGCTTCACCTGTGTCTAGTGCCAACTGCCCTCCTCTCCCCATTCAACAGCAGAGGGAATAATTTGTCTAGGCACTATTCTTGCTTCCCAGATGCAACATTAATGTTCATTAGCACACCCTGCTGAGTGGCCTTCTACTCACCAGGATCTCATCCTGCAAAGGGGAACCATAGCAACAGCAGCAGAGCAGAGAGCAGGAGAGGAGCAAAGAGAGGAGAGATTGTTACTAGGAGAAGAGAGGCTCAAAAATAAAATAAATTGGAAGCTGGTACCAAATCTTTTACCCCAGGTGTTAACAAAAGCAACCCCCATCCCAAAAATAAAAGTCTGCTATCAGGAAAGCCGAAGCACTTTACAGGTAGATCCAGAGTTTGCCCTTTGCGTGGCTCTTCTGTAAGGTCCACTGCACAGGACAGGGCTCCCTACAGCTGCTCTGAGATCCCATGAAATGGATGGTTGGCCAGCCCAACCTGCCGACCTACCTGCCTGCCAACAGTACTGAAAGAACCTACATGTTTATATGCAGGGAAAGGTGTGTTATAAAGAGAATGGATGTCAGGAGTGAATGTCTTTAAAAAGACTAAGCAAAAGCATTTGCTTCCATTCTCTATGAAGCTGCTTGTAAGACTCTCTACAAGATCTTCTAGCCTAGGTGGCCTTGCCATGTGCCCAGTAAATCCATGAGAAAGCAGTATTAGCCTCTTTTTAATTGTATGTACGCTCCTTACAGGTCCTAAAGGAATAAGGGAACTCCTCCCCTCCACTGCTGTCTTTTCCTATGGGTGTGTTCTCACATATACCCAGTGCAACCATGGCTCTGATCTCCCTTTGTCTCCCTGTACAGAGGTTTAAGTATTTCCAGTGAAGTTTTCCAGAAGAAAGTCCATGAACTCTCTTGAAATCCCTTTCCAGAAAGTAGATACCACTGATGGGAAAGACAACTAGAAAAGACAATTCTGTTCTGCAACAGTTCAGACCTGGTGTTCTGTACCCCTCAGCAGAAGAGTTAACACAGTTCATAAAGGGGCTGAAGAAACAGATTTACAGAACATTAACAGGGATTTCCACCAGAAAAACAAGACCAGATCTTGATTATCAAGCATCCATTTCCCTCTACAACACTTTCCCTCCATTGCTGCCACATGCTCAGTTCTTCCTGACTGCAGTGAGCCTAAAACACTATCCTCCAGGTATAAATGGAGTTTGATGAATTAAAAAACCAAACAACTTGGAGCACTGCTGCATCCAGCCCAGCACTTGTCCACCTGGTAGCTTCCAGGTAGCAAACATGTCCTTCTTGCAGCAGTGAAGGAGATGGAACTTGGCCTACCTGGTTGCCAGCTGCCTTCTTCTTGCTCATCTGGCTGCTCCTCTGCTGAGCACTGCAAACAACAGCAGAGACATTCAAGACCCCTCAGGCTCTTCTTGATTACCTGAATACAGCTCCCATCAGATAACTTCTAGAGTGAGTTCATGCCCCTCACCACTGGCTTCCAAGCCTTGATAAACCAGTCTATTTCCATCTGCTCTCTCAGCCTAGTCTAGTCTACTCATCTCACTCCCACCTGAGCCACACTTGGGTCACTAACCCTCAACTTCTGCTCTTTTCCCCCCTGACACAACCCTACTACTCTTAACCCCCTTCTACACATCCCTATTCTCCTCCCAGCCTTGCAATACAGAGCCACTGAGAAACAAGTAATAGTGAGAGCTGAACCATGTTTTGGGACCACAGCATCCGTATCCATCTTTGCAACCCATTTACTGGAGCAGCTATAGGACAGAGCCACAGGAAACACATGCAGAGAAGAGGTGGCAATAGGATGTAGGTGCTTACTTGGCAAAGCCAATGAAATCCTCATGGTTTGTGTTCATGTAAGCCAGCTCGATGTCTATTAGAAGCATGACCTGCCAAATAGAGGCACAGACAGAGCAAGACAGACATTAGTGACTGACACTGCCAATAGTCAGGGGCAGACAGAGCCCTGTGCATTGTTGATCTGATCAGCTCTTTGCAACCAGACACCCCTTGGCTCAGGCACTTCTAGCTTAGACTGTCCTTTCAAAGGTGTCCCCCACCCAACCTCCCCTCCCACACACACTCCTGATCCCCTACCTGATCTTTGGTCCTGCCTTCTCTCTCACGGATGTGAGTAGTAACAATCCTCTCCATCTCCTCACGCAGATGAGGGTACTGGCTGAGCTGCAGGAGAGAGAAAACACGTGCACATGGGAAAAGGAGACACAAAGGGGGAAGCAGCCCCCCACATGTATGCATGCATACCCACACCCTACAATCAGGTATTTTTAAGGGAAGTTCTAGAAAGCTGGACTTGCAGAGATTTTTCCAAGATCCTAGATGTCTGTTGGAGGCAAAGTTCATTCCCTCCTGCTTTGGGCTTCGTAGAAAAGCCCTTTTCCCTCTTGCAGCAACCTTTCTGCCTCACTGAAGACCTGCTCCAAACCCACCACATTCTTCCTGGCATGAGGCTCTTGACAAACCCCAGATGTAAATGCCTGTTGGGTTTTTCCCTTTAAAGTGAAAAATTTGTCTAGGTGTTCAACATCTCATTGTAGTAGGCTAAGTAGGTGAATGGCCTGTTGCTACAACCTCCTATATCCTACAGGAACTCTCCCTGGTAAGTGAGGTGGATTTCAATCCCCATTTGCTGAGGCACTAAGTGAAAGCATCTGGCCTTCTCCATCAACATCTGCAAGCAGAGACAGAGGATCTGACCAATTCAAGGGAACATGTCTTCAAGAAACACTATGCTCTGGGCATCCAGCTGCTTCTACCTGCTCTCCACCTGTGCTGGGGCAGGATTACATAGCTGACATCTCTATTCACATTGTACCTACACCACACTTTTTGCCACATTACTGTGGAGGGAATCCTTTCCTGCCCAGATGTAATGAGGACTTTACTAGCTGTGATGCAAAACAAGAATATATCAAGAGAATACATGAGAAATGCTTCCAAAATCAGCACTCTTGAAGCCCTCTGGGTTTCACACAGCACCTACATACTTGCCTAGAGTCATAAGCCTCTGTGATTTCAATAGCAGTAACTATGTCTGTCAGGTCAGGCCCAGCACAGTCAAATGAAACTCATCCTCCAGATCAAACCCTGCCTATAACCTGTGAAATTGCTTCCTCAATTTTTTATATTACCTCCAATTTAACTATAATGTCTAAGAGCATTTCCTAATCAGGCTTTTATATCATCTCAAGGAAGTGTATAAGAAAAAAGTAGTCTCATTTCCCTATGATCTATACTGCATTTGTTTTGTGCCTCCAGTTTACATGAGAGCTTCTTCTTAAACTGGTTTGTCCTTTCATTCTGTATACATAAGCAATTATAACACACTAGAAGGAACTGGCTCAAAGTGTGCAGCATCACTACTGGAAGCCAGATCCCACACTAACCAGCAACAATATTCCTAAAATCTTACTACAAAGTCTTCCAGCACCATTGCAGTCAAGCAAGGTGCAATAGCTTGAACTGAAACTGAGGACTAGCTTTGACACTGCCCATTTTCAAATGTGTGGTTTGTTTTGAATGCCAATGACCCTACAGATGCAGGAAAAAACAAGTGGAATTAGTGTTCCCCACCACCACCTTGTCTTGAAAGCACAAACTGGGTTTTCTCCATGATCTTTATGGTTCAGGCAGCTGGTTGCTTCACAGACACACAGGCAAGGCTTCCTGTTTTCTTTTGGGGGTTGGCAAAGGAATGATGGACAAGTTAAATCAAACAGAAAAAACAGGAAGTTGGAAAACCTCTAAGCAAGTCTCAGCTTCTTTGCTTCAAATTAAAAAGTCAAACAAAAAAACCCATCTAAACTCCCCTCACCACCCCACTCCCAACCAATACAAATGCACACAAAGTGCAAAACAAGTTGTTTATTCAGCATCCAGGTTATCCAGCAACATTCATGTGCAAAAAGAAATTGGCAGCATCAGTCCCCATGCAGGAGCTTCCAACCCCAAGCACGCACAGGAGAAGCAGGGGTGGGCAAGGAGAGAGGACACAGACAAGCCACAGGATGTCACACCACTAGGGGACATGCAATAGGGGGTCAAGGAGTTATCACCAGCAGTACAAACAGCACCCAGAAATGCCATGACTCTGAAAGACAGGAGAGCAGGCGACCCTTCAAAGGGTTAAATCTGTCAGCCTAGGATCATGTCCCAGCTCAAGTAGGTTTTCAATCCTGTTTTAGCTGTATTTGCCTGTTTAATCAAAATACAAGCTTACAGCTCTCTTTGAAAACCAATTTGTTCCAATGTTCCCTAGTTCCCCTCTTTGCAGATTCCAGGAGTCCTTGCCAGCACACCAAAGATCAACCTTTAGCTGAAGCATTGCTGACTCGCAAGACCTTCCTGTACTTGTGAGATGCTGCAGTGCAGTCTGGCACAGAAGGTTCCTGCTTTTGGAAAAACACTAGCTAGAACGTTATCCTCCTAAATGTAAGGGCTTACATGCTTACACCAGCATTCTGTTGATTTTGGAGTTACTCTCCAAACTTAGGCAACTGGAAGAAGGTCAGAATCGGGCCATTCAGAGAACAGCTGTTAATGGCTACCTTCTCTTCAGCTCTCAACTTTGTCCAATAGTCAGGAAATGGTCAACTGCAAATCTTTTTGCCTACAGGAAAGCTGTACTTCTGCAGACAGATGGGTTTGTCACCTTCTGTGTTTTTTTGTTTTTTTTTTATTAAGAGTCTTGTGTTATTCCATCTATGCAGCTTTATCAACTGCACATACAAAGATTTCTTCACCATCTGGGGTGAAATGAAATAATTGTGACAGCACACAAACAATAACACACAATAGTTCAGGACAGCAACAAACCAAGGCTACAGGACTGTTATGCTAATTCAAGAGGTGTCAGCCCAAGCAGTCTTCCTTTCAAGAAGCCTTGCAGGACTTCTAGTGAGTTTAAAGGTTTTTATTATCTGAAAGGCAGCATCAGGCCACAACACAGGAGGCTGGGTATTAGCTTACAATTAGCATCAGTCCTAAATAGCCTTTTCCAGATGCGTCCCCTAATAACACATGCTCTTGTCCACATCAAGCAGTTAGGTCTATAACATGCAAGATAAATATTGCAAATTAACTAATGCCCCTGTGCTGTTACTACCTTATGCCATCAAACCCCATCTCAGGTTGGCTGCTATTTAAAGTGGTCTATAGCAGTTACCATCTACTCTTTCAGAGGGAGATACAGGCAAGATTAACCTTTCACTACATGTAGACATTTGATTTTAAGCATTACTAAAGCCTTCTTTTTATTTTCCAGTACTATTGCTATATATTTTCATTTAGGCCATTATTTCACATCTTTAACATCTGCTTCCCTGGCCTCTCCAGGTTTTATTTCAGCCACTAGTCTCCTACAATGTCACTGCTACTGTCACCTTCCTTACAGGATTATCATGGTTGCAACACTCTGGAACATCCTCATGGGGTCCTCCACCATATCACAGCTTAAAATCTACAGAGCAAGTGAGTATCCAGCCACTCTAACTACATGGTCCAATAGAGAAATTGGAATTCAACACTCTTGAGGTTTTCATAATCCTTCTCCCTCCCCACCAAGAAGGGACATCTCCAGCCAGATATAGAAAACAGTGGAAGCAAACCCACCAAAATAAAAAACCCACAAGAGAAACAGGCTGCAAAGGAGTTATTCTGCCTGGCCACATCAGCCCCCACAATCTGGCAAGAGCAGGACTCTGGGCAGAACTCAGGGCACATCAGAGATATCTCCTTAACAGAGGCAGAGGTGAGCTCTGTATTCCTAAGTACAACCAGAGCTTATTAGCTCAGCTCTTGCCTTCACTCTGAACTCATATCAATTCTTGTCTTCCTTTCCTTCCCAATTTAGACATTTCTGTTGGTGAGTCTGGCTGTAACCCTGGAAGACAGGAATTTTAATTTTTAAGTCTTAAAATAACCCATGAAACAGCCCTTTCCAACTCAGTTTCCAGAACATACTTCTGTTCTGCCACAGACATGTTTCTGGCCCTTCCCTGGCAAGTTTAACACCAATTGCCACATCTGCCTTTTTTTTTTTTAAGGAGGCATGTGGTGCCCTCGCCTGGAGGAAGCCAGCCTGGGAAACAAACCCACTCCTGCCCCAGCCTCTGAGCAGCATTTGACACCCTCCATGTCACACAGGGCAGTTTCCCTCTCTATCTGCTGCTGCCCTCTGCTCCGCTAAGGCTTCACAGCACACAAGAAGTACCCACACTACCTCCCACTGAGCACAGTCCATGGAGCAAGAGATCAGGAGAATGATGCAGAGGGTGTAACGCCTGGAAAAGCTTTCCCCTCCCAAGCCTTTTGGGACAGTAATCTGTTGACTGAATCTCTCTTGCAGAGTATCTTGCACCTCAGATTTTTTTAATTGACTGTTGTTTTGTGTATGCTGCTGTTCAACACAGTTCTGCAGACTAGTCACACTGTGGTGACACAAGGTCTTTTTCTAGGGTATCTGAATTTTTTAAGAGGGTCCCAGAAAAACCAAGGAAGAAGTTCCAAATGCACAGGCAGTGGCAGAGCAAACAGGGCTTGATCTACACTTAGGTGAATGCACTGAGCCAGAGGAATAAAAGGGTATGCTAGAATAACCCACTGGATCCCAGCTCACTTCTCAGCTAAAGAGCCCATCAGCTGATGCCCACTTCTCTTGGCCTGCTTTTAAACTGCTCTTATACCTGCAGGTTGTTGCCCTCCTTTATATCCATTTTCTCTCACTAGGTTTGATGGAGTCCCTGGGGTGTGTGTGGAGAAATAACATGGAAGTGTGTGGGACGGGAGTGGGCATTGACCTTTCTTTGCATTTTTTTTGTTTCTTTACCTTTTCGCTACACTTTCTGATGGTGGATGTGAGCTCACTCACTACCATATCCACACACTTCAGACTCGGCTCCTTCAACTTCTGCACCTGCTTTTTCACTATGGCTTCAAAAGCGAGGTCAGGCGTGAAGAGACCCGTTCTGCATGGCAGAGGCAGGGTGGGAGGAAGCAACGAGGAAGAAGAAAGCAAAGCAGAGAAAGAGCAGGAAGGAGGAGGAAAGAGAAGGAAGGAAAAGGGAAAAAGAGAAAACACAAGGCAAAATGAGAAGTGAGATCGTGGTTCATTCCATTAGTTTACTGAACCAGGTGAGCATTGCTATGGGGCCTGTGCACTGCCAAGTATCAGGAGAGTCTACAGGCAAATGGAAAGGGCAAAGGGGAATGAGGTAGGAGCAGCTGGGCCAGTGAAATGGTGAGCTGTCAAGAGCAAGATGAATGGATGGAACCCCTCAGGGATCAAGTGATCTCTTCCTGAAGGAAAGCTGCTTTAGATTTTAAGACAAAGCTGCTTGCCACAGTGAGCCACTGCCTCTCTTCCTAGAGGCTCACCATGCCTCATTTCCCTTTGTCTCCAGCATTCTCCTTTCCTTCCCACTGCAGTTATCTCCCCTTAATATTTTCTTTATTCCAGTTGCAGGAAGCCTGAACAGGAGCCAAGCTAAAACTTGCAGAGGTCTGTCACTTGCATCTTGTTTTGGCAGAACTGAACTGATGTTTCTCAGTTTCAGGGATTCAGACAAACTGCTCCACTTATGAAGCATATTTCATCTCACTCACCTTCCCTGCGACATTAACTTCCTCAGTAAGAATAGATGTACCCAGTATTTATATCAAACAAGCTACAGGGCATCTGCAGCTATACAAAGCATCAGACCCAATACAGGCCTGCTGGGGTTTATAAGGAAGTATTAATTTCCACTATATAGTATTTAAGTGGCCTCTATTCTCAGTGGCTCTGTTATGAAAGAGCAGGACATTCACAGAAACCAAAGTTACTAAAATATGGCCAAGATTAATCCAGTTCAAGACTACTGCACCCAAAGTTTTACAGCACATCTTTAACACTTCAGAGCTTCTACCAAGATGCTCTTTGTTATACAACTTGAGTTACCTGTTTTAAGCATGAGGCATTACTGCTTTGTGAGTGCTTTCAAGGTGACAACGTCCCCTTGACGTGGGCTGGGCATACTGCCTTTCTAAAGGTAGTTAATAGTCAAACCTGAGGTGCATACAGCTAACAACCAATCCAGAACTATCTATAATTAACCACCACCTCATTTAAATTAGGTATTTCATCTCATCTTTCACATCTCTATGGATAGATAACAGCTGCAAGACCCCAAGCAACACTCGTATTAAAACACTCTAAAAATACACATTATAGGACCTACAGCTAGTCTGCCTTTTAAGCAGCAGAGAGTTGGAATATGTTAGAGGACTCAGCTTCACCCAAGATTCTCTCTCAAGGTGCCAACAATGCTCCTTTTGAGCAAAGCAAGTGCATTTCCAGAGTTAAGTTCACATCCTCTGACTCAGCAACAGTTTCTTACTAATGCAGTTGCCTCGCTAAGCTCAATATACACCATTTCCCTCACCAGACTTGGGGGGCCTTGCACAAAAGTAATTTTTAAAAACAGTCCCTTCTAATACCCAAGTATCACCTGAACAACAATATTTTGTTTTGCAGATACAAAATTGTAACCATGGCTACTAGAGCAGCTAGCACTGAAGTCAACCATCAAATTCTTAGCAGTAGGATCTAAGCTAAGCCTGAATGCTTTAATCTTGAATCTGTGACATTTCCCTCCACCCCTGTGGTCTCTTCCCCTCCCTTATTTCCCACCCTGCTGCACCCACCACCTGATCACTTGAGGAACCTGCCACTGTCAGAACAGATGGTCCATTCTGAAATTGTCAGTAAAAGAAGAAGCAAAAAGAAACAATGAAGAAATAAGTGGGAAATGGAGGGAAGGACGCAAAGAGAAAGAGTGAATGGGAAATTCAGAATAGCAACCAGTGGATGGAGAACAAATCAAGAGAAGCTTCAGAAGGCATGAAAAAAGAGGGCCCTTCTGATCCAGTTAGCAAGCAACTCTGGATACTTGGCAGCCCAAGGGCCTGTGCTTACCTGTCGCCAGGCTCTAATGGCAACTTTCTGGGTGCTCCCCACAGTCACACACCCCAAGAGAGGACAGCAGGACAGAAAAAGGAAGCTCCTCCAGCACTCTAGAAACCTGAGCAATTTCTCACTGCATCCACTTCGCTTTCCCAGTCTGTCCTGGGGGGCAAAGCATGCGCCTGCATACCCGAGTCCTTCTACAGAGGCTCTTGGCTCTAAGGACAAGGCGTTTCTGCAAGCGATTGCGAGTATCACCACTTGGGCACCTTTCCCCACCCTTGCAGGGACAGGATGTCAAGACTCTCCACACACCTCCTGCAATGCCCATTTACCTGCATCTGAGTAACTAGTGGTGATTCCAGTCTCCAGTGCCCAGACCACCATCCTAACCAAGGTGCCTTTTCACCAGCACCCAGCCCTGCCTGAAGCAGCAAGCCATGGCTGAGAGGAATGGCACAAGTCTTCTTGTCTTGCTGCCTTTCAGGCCCAACCTCAGAAACAATTGTTGCCATATCCAAAGGGCAGAATCAAGGCAGGTTCCCTCCCTCAGCCCCAAACACCAGTATGGATTCCAAAGGGCAAAACCTGAAGACCTCTCTTTCTCAGAGAGATCAGGAGGACTCCAGAGGTTGATGGACATTTCTAACTTGCTTCTTCTCAGCCATGTGCTGCCCTTCCAGAACAGGATATGGACCAAGCCAACCAGAAGCCAAGCCAAACACCACAGGAACATTTCTCTGCAATACAGCCCACAGCTATAACTCCTCCAGCCTTTGAAGTTCAGCCCCATGTACCCCACCAGCAGCACCCAAAGCCTAGTTTGGCATTAACCCTCTCACTCCTACAAGAACAGGAGGGAGAAAATTTAAATCCCAGTTTCTGGCTTGGAAAATAAACCCAGATACTAAATTTGAAGTCAAATGTGGCCACATAAGAAATACCAATTGGTTTTAGAAGGAATCAGGAGACTGAGGGGTGGCAGGGACATCTCCAGCACCCCTCAGCTCTCAAACATTCAGGGAGCAGGGCCATGGCCCATGTCCCACAGGTCTTCCCCTCCTGTTTGGCTTGTTGGCTGGATGGCCCCAGGCTGGTACTGCTCAGGTCTAGTCATGCTGAGGAGGTGGTTAGAAACACCGAGTGTGGCTGCAGGCAAGTCCCTGCCCAGGTCACAATGCTGCGCTGCAGCCAGCGAGCAGGTGAAAGTGCCAGCTCCATGCTGCCTCTGGTTACCTTCTTGGTGCACTGTCTAACGGTATTGATTAACTCCGAAATGACCATGTCCACGCATTTCAGGCAAGGTTCTTTAATCTTCTTCACCTGCTTTTTCACAATGGTCTCAAAGGCCATGTCGGGTGTGAAGAGACCGGTTCTAAACACCCAGGGTGGGGACAAGAGAAGGCAGGAGGGGGAGAGGGGGCAAGGAGAATGTCACAGCATTACATACACATCTTGGAGCAGGCACAGCCATCACTGAAACCCGGCACGCAGGGCTGGGGAGTGTCATGTTCCCCGGACAAGACCTGACTGGAGCCCATGGAAAACAGGGGATGCTCGGCACCTCCCAGGAAGGAGATGCTGAGGGCAAAATGGATCCCAGCTGGACAGCCATGGCCAGGCCACCATTCACCTCAGCCACCAAGCCTAAGGGCTGACCCCTCTCTGCAGCACATTTGATCTCAGAGTTGTGCAGCAGATGGGACGTGGTTTTTGAAAGATTTTTTTAATTATTAGGACACTAACATATTTGATACCCTTTATCAAGGTCAGCTAGTGACTGAGCAAAAGAAAGGAATGAAAACAAATCTAGGTCAGTATTTATTCAGATCCCAGTGCTCAGGAAGGACTCTGACGGGCACCAGCCCCTGCCCACCTTCCCAGTAGCAGCACAACTCAGGGTCTCAGGGCTATGCTATTGTCCCAAGGGGAACATAAGTGTGTTTGCTAACTATGTCCTGGGGCCATTGGGATCCTGGTGACAGGCACCCCGATGCTCCCTCAGATCTCTAGGGGAGGAAGTGTTCAGTATCAACAACTGTTTTGAACAACTAAGTACAGAGGCAGAACCAATGTTTTAATTTTAATTAAATGAAGGAGTAGTATGGGCTTGCATCCCTCTTTCTATCCTTTCTTATATCAAGACACAAGGAGGAGGGAGAAAATGTCTAGTCACCAAGGCAGTTTTACCTTTTAGGCTTCTGCAACTCTCACATGGGAAGAGAAAGAAAAGCAAACTGACTTGGATGATTGTCCCTACTCCCAGATTCAGGCCACCGGGGTGGTCCAAAGAGGTTATCCCTCCCCTTTGGCTGACCTACCGTACCTTTGAAGTCTTCAACTCCATTTGAAAGGTCTAGAGGTATTTACAAGGCTATGCAGCCAATGGTCTGCCTAGTGCGTGATACGTGCCTGATACCATGGATGTTCTTGATGGCATAGCTAATCTCCCGTCGCAGCTCCTTCTCATCAAACTCCATCTGCACCAAGAGAGAACTTTATCAGAAACTGTTGGACATTTATTTGCACAACCCTAGGATATACAACAGCTTTAAAGAGAAGAGGTCCCATCCTCATGTGACAGATGAAATATTAGCCCAAGTGTTGGAATGGCTAAGGGCCTCCATTTACAGATGCCAAGCCCAGCAGCTCCCAAGGAATTTTTTTTGAGATAAAGCAATAGGACTGAACTGCAGGGATGGCTTTCTAAAACAAACTGGGTTGTGTCCCAAAATTTAGCATGATTAGATTTAGCATTAGGTCTTGGCAGTTGTTTTTTTTCAGTGAACACCACCAATAGATTTACAATTCACATACAAAAACATACTATCCAACCCCAGGCAGGCTCCTGTATTTCACTTAAAAGGCCTCATCTTATTAAAATGCAAAAAAGGAACTAAAATGCAGAAAATCCAGGAGTAGAATGATTTGGCTCTTGAGTTTGTTCTAACTGACACTCAAAGTTTTTCCATACCACTTCAGACAACAGTAACAGATAACAGGCAAGAAGACAAAGTGCATCTCAGCAGCACAGGGAAGCAGTACCTTCACCAGTTCAAAAGGGAAACGCTCATGGAAGATGCGATTAATCCTAGCTCCTCCTGACAGCTCATAGGTATCAATTTGGTCTCCAGAGCCTTCAATGCGTTTCTCAAAGTCCACAGCAAACTGCTGGACCATCCTGAAAGAAAACAAAAAGCATGAAATAGAAGTCATGGCTGAGTGGTCACCTCCAGGGAGGGACGTGCAGCTGAGGCCACTCACTGAAGCAGAGCTTTGGTCTTGCGAGCAGGGTCATCAGGACGAAAGTTCTTGTACTCCTCCACCTCCTTCTCAATGGAGAGAAGCTGGCTTTGGAGCTTGTTCCGCAGCCCTGGCAGGGTGTCACGGATGTGGTTGGTCAATTGCTGCATAAGAAGAAGGTTTAAGATGATGATAAACTTCTAGGTGGTTACTAGGAAGACTTTGCAACCTCTGCACCACAAAATAGAGGAATGCTCCTCTCTCCTGTGTTCAGTCCTTCTAAGTGGTCCTAGTAAGAAGTCTATCCCAGGGCAGGTACTAGTTCTGAGCTGGGTGCATCCTGCCTCCCTAGCTCCTGCACCACTCTATTCTTGACAAGGTGAAAGGAGTCAAAACCACTAATGACACTCTAATAAGAGTGTTTCCACAGAGCACAGCTGGGGAAAACACCAGCTTAAAGATTAATATTTAAATAAGGAGGAAACAGGACAAAGTAATTCTTTACTTAAAGGAGGATGTCAAGGGAGCAGAGAGGGAAGCAACAAATAAGTTACTACTGTATGAGACAGGAGATAAGACAGCCTTAACAGATGAGAAAATGACACCAGTATCACATTTAAATCAATCTTTGCAGCTTACTGTTAGGTACAGAGACCACTAGAAATTCAGAAGGCATCTTTTAGCTTAACTAGAAAGGCTTTGCATTCTGATAGTGTAAATGCCAGGAACCAACTATTGATCTTTGCACCAGTGTCACCGAGAGGATGAAGCAGTGCTCTCCCTTTGGTGTGCAAGCTCCATTATTGGTCTTAATGTGTAATACTGATATAGTGAAACACAAGTCTGGCACACTCCATAGGACCTGGCACCAAAGTGCCTTCTGTGATGCAGAGAAGGAAGAGTTAACCAATCTCCACAAGTCTCACTGCAACAAAACAACTTAGAGTATTTATCAGTTTATTGACCACAAGTTCTAGTTTTTCTTGTCTTCTTCCATCTCAGAAGAGCCCCGATGGTCAGCCCAGCCATTCTTGTGACATAGTGTGCAGCACTTCTTAACTGTTGACAGTACCTGGTTCAGTACTTTCTGCAGGTAGGGGGTTCCCATGCGATCAGCCATGTGTCTGTAGGCTGGGTGGGAGAGAAAAAATTTTCTCTCTGCAGCAAGAGCTGCCTGAATGTCCTTCTTGCCATCTATGTCCTTCTGACTTCTGTTCACTACACCAATGTAACCTGTAAGAGTGGGGTTAGAGATCAGATGGTTGCAACTATGAGAATATAAATGGGACTCAGACTGAGAAGGAAGGTGCCCATCTGGCAGTGCTGCAAAAGGGGAATTCTAGTGGCAACACATTATTAGGAACCAATTGGAAGAGTTTAAAATTACAGTTTCCTCTGAATGACCCAGGTTCTGATGTTTTGGTATGCAGGACAGAAATTACTATGCAACTGAGAATTAGGTTATTTATTACTGTTCCCCCAATCACAAGCAGACCCTAATCTCATTCATTTGAGACTCTTACAGTCCTTAGGATAAGTATTTTGCTATGGCTATACACAGCATGTATCACAGTCCAAAATTATTTCATCTGATATACTATGGTAATCTCATCTAGATAAGAGATGAGGGGAGTCTTTTAGACAGGAGTTCCATTTTTGCAGCTTGCATTAAAAGTAAGGAATGAGAAAATAAAGAGCATAAGGCTACGCTTCTGCTAGGACTACTTATCAAGGTACAAAACCCAAAAAGTTCCTGTTAACAGCATGACTGATCCCTGTTCCCCAACTTTCACAGTTACAGTTTGGAACAGAGATGGCTTAATCACAAGTTGTAACAGATGTTGCAGGAAGGAGATGCCCTGGAGGAAGGGGACAAGGCCAGGTCTTCTCACATAGGGAAAAGAGAGGAAGGAGATCATGGACAAAGCACAAGGAAACCTACCTCTGCGAAGAGGAAGCAATTTATTTTCTAATACATCTCGTGCATCAGTTCCTTCATCCATAAGATCCAGCTTAGTGATGACTCCAATAGTGCGTTGCCCTATGGAAAAAACACAAACACACTTTATCAAGCAAACAACTCATGTAATATTTTCCTCTGTTCACAGAGCTTCCATGTTGTCCAATTTACAACCCAAGAACACAGACAGGAACCCATAGCTACTGGGCTAATCACAGCCAAAAAGGTAAAAGGAAAATCAGGCCACTATTTAGTAATGTCATACTAAACTTAGAGATATTTACCTTGAGGATCCACCTCCTTTGCAACCTTCAGGGCATCAGAATTGGCCAGATCTGAGTTGGCTGGAGATACTGCCAGGATGAGGCAATTCTCTTTGGTGACAAACTGCATGAGCATATCTCGGATCTGAAACTCGATGTCAGGGGGCTGGTCTCCTACTGGGACTTTTGTCATACCTGGTAGATCCACCAAGGTCAGGTTCAAGACTAGACATAGGAAACAGGAGAGTGTTGAGGTAGGAATGTTCTGGTCCATTAAGTACCACCTGTAGCTTTAGTGTCTCCAGTATATAATAGGCATAACAGATGCACACAGAGAAACACACAGAGCTTTCTAATTGCTTTGTTACTGCTTAATACGAGATAGTTGCTAGTTGTTACTAGTCGTGACTGTCCATGATCTCATCCTCCTTCCCTTTAAATTACTTGTTTTCACACTGATCACAGAAACTGTGCCCTCAAAGTCCTTCCACATATGCTACACTGAAAGGGAAGGGATTACGTTACATTTTTTCACTTCATAATAAACACTAAAGAGTCAGAAGAGCTGGTTCCACTCATTAAGAGTTGTCACTGGTATTGAAGGGCTCAGTCCTGCCACCCTTATTCAAGGGAGCCTCCTGTCAAAGTCAGCTGGGCCTTCTCCTGAAGGACTACAATATGCAGCTCTACAGCTGTTTAATTGTCTTGCTGAAAGAAAGACTTAAAACTAAAATCAAGCACAAGTTCTACCCAGCCAAATGGTATGTAGCACTGGGCTGCTGCTTTCCAAAAAGTGCCCATACAGCTGTTCACATTTAAAGAGCTGGCAAATTTGGGACCATGGTGCTCCCTTGTTTAAGCAGAATTCTTCCAGTGATATCAGTGACATATGACATAGGCACCACCTGGAAAGAACTATACCAAGTATGTATTTACATGCTGCAAACAGAAGGCAAGTGCTCCTCAAGAAAGCCACTCTCCCTATCTTTTTTTTCTCCATTTATTTGCCCAGGAAAGCAGTAAGCTAAGTCAGAAAGCAGGGAGAAACAACAGCTCTTCACTGTAATGCCCACACTGATGGAAAGGAACAGCCTCAGGAACAAGTTTCTGCACAGACATCAGTGGCTTTGAGGAGAAGTTCTGCTAGCAGTCAGATACTTCAGCTGGCAGACAAACCTGTTTCAGCAGCATGGCCAAGGCTGGCAGTTTGATACCACATGGCACAGGCACATGGAGATTAAAGTCAAAACCAAGCACGCGCCCCATTTCATCTCTGTTCTTTCTGCCTTTACTTCATGACAAAGCAGCAACCTGCCTCATCTATCTTCTGACTCAGATGCTGCATTAAGACTCACCATGGGGAGAGTAGACTCGAAGATTGATGGGCACAGGGGAAATCCCTTTGTTGGAGCCAGTAACACGATCCGTTTCAGCCTCAATCTCCAAACGGATCTCCTCAAAATCAGTGAATTTCTTTCCTTTGCAGTGTAGGAACTCACCATATTCTATGTAAACAAAAGCAGAGAGGCAGAAAAAGTAACTGAAATGAAACAGTGTAATAAAAACATCATGTTCCAAAGCAAAACAAAAAGACAGTTGAACGGATGAAGTCTGGCAAGGGCCTTTCCCACTAGGACCTGGCAGGTTGGCATAGAAGTTACTGCAGTCACATTATCTGATCAACATACAAGATAATTCAGTTAAGCCCAGCATCTTCACAATCTAGCTTTTGTCTCAGCAGAGGTAGCATCCTGACTTATCTTCATTCAAGCAATAATTCAGGACTTTCTCTGTGGATAGTAGGCAAACTTAGCACACACCTGCCTGCAGCAGTGACTTCCACAGCTACGCTGGGAGACAGCTTGGTAAGCAGGAGCACTTGAACTAGCTCTGTATTAAAGTGCTGGGGGTAAACGACAGACTCATTACAGAACGAGAACAGATTCAAAAGAGTCAAGAGGGGAAAAAACAAAACATGCCACAAAACCTTATCTTGACACAGTTCTGAATTGGTGGTTGGGGTTTTTTTGTGTGCCAATCCTTGAACAGGCTAACCAATCCAAGAACCCTCCGTTGCAATTTTAAAAGTATCTTAAAAGTCAAATTGCCTCCTTACTGTAGAGGAGAGGACTGATGTGGATAGATCAAGTTCACCAGACAAGAGAGGCAAGAGTACCTTGAGACATTCACTTGCCAACTCCTGGATGAGATCTTAACTTATGTAAGGGGAATGGTAATGAAAATATCCTGCCAGTAAGTAGCATAACCAGTGAACTGTCCAAAAGACCAGCAACAGAACTATGTAGTCTTTCTTCTCCAGGTCCCCATGTTCTCACACTGGGTTTTCAGTTCATTCAATCATCTCACCCCCTTATTTCAGTACGTTAGCAGGGTCATCTGGCTTTTAGGTCTTGCCTACTTAGAAGAGTCACAACTGTATAGGCAAAGGAAAATTGTAACAAGTGTGTGCATGGACCCTTGCCTAATAAATTAAAATAACTAAGAAGCATTTTGCTTCTGAACACTTAATGCATCAGATGTTAAACAGGTAGAAGTGAAAACCAGCTGCAGGTCATTTTTACTGGGGAAAACTCTTTTTTCCACATTGAGCATGGCCACTGAACAAATAAGACCTTTCTTGACTAAGACAGCAATCCAGCTGGACACACATGGAAGGTAGCTCACATACCTGTGCTGGAGTTTACCAGCTGCAGAACCAGTGGGCGTCTGGTTACGATGCCAGATCCACGTGGCAGAAAGTCTCTGAAATGAAACAGGAAGTTTCAGATGAGTGAATGATTGTTTCCTTCCCTTTTCACAGCTTTTCCGCTTCTGTAAACATTCACAGATTCTAACAGAGATTCTCAGCCATGGGCACAAAAAAGTTTAAGGCACTAAAACCAAGTGCTCCTCCCTCAAGGAGGATAAGAGCTTCTTGTTCTGAAGAAGCCTATACTTGCAGCACATCCCTTCTAATCCTCTCTGTAACAGCTACAGCTCCTTCAGCTCATGTTCTGAGCTAACCAACAAGCTCATTTAATATAGCCGGCTGTACTTTGGAAAAAATTCCATCTCTTTCATCACAAAGAAAAAGAGAAGTTGAAGCAAAGCCTGAAAACTAGCGTGCCTCCTTTTGACAAAATACAGTTATCCAAACTACCACAAAATCATTCACATCCTGCACTTTGGGGCTTGAGAGGACACCGCACTGTTCCGGTGTGCAAATACCACATGATACATCTGAAAGCCAAAGGCTTGCCGCCACCCAGGGTTTCTCCTGGCTAATTACTCAAGACATAAGTATTGCCAAGACAAAAGCAGCATCAGCTTCCTTCTATATTCACAAGAACCTTGAAATTGTGTACTTCAAATCATTTCAAAGGAAGGAAACCTTTCACTATCCTTCTCCAAATGCTGACTTAGCAGCCACAGCCCACGAGTTCTCCTTTGCTTTTTCTTTTTCCAATTTTTTTTTTTTTAGCAGAGCTAGGCACAGCTCACTGCATCTGCTGATGACCTTGCTAGATTGTGGCCTGGTTTTCAAGTACTCAGCTGTTCATGTGGCTCCTCAAGAGCCACTGAGCATTTCTGAGAATATAATCAATTACTTCCCTGCCCAGTAGGAAAAGCATCATCTCAAAACATGGTTCCTACACCATGAATATAGTTTTCTTTGTTAAGAGGAGTCCTACCGACGTTGCTGGCATTCTGGTACACAATCCTCCCTCCCTTGGTAGCTGTGGTAATTAATACTTTTGCTAATTCAGCAGTGACTAACTACTCTGGTGAAAGAAAAATCCAGGGCTCTCCATTTTGAGTGTCTTGTTCTTCGTCCTCCAGGAGCTTAATGCTGACAAAGGAAGTGAAGATGAGGAATGAGCTTTTGTTTTAACACATCAGATGAGGACTTGAGCAGTTTTATTTCAGCTCCTGGCTTGGCCCAGGATTTCCTTTCTAATCCTCTGCAAGTTCTCCTACTTCTCTGCATTTCCCTTTCCTTAGCTACAAAAGTAACCCCCCATCTGTGGGGCTGTCAGAATAACTTGGTAATATGAAAAACTGCAGAGTAGTTTCAAGTGGAGGGTAAGGAGGCATCCTACAATCTCCAACACCTCAAATAAAAATACATCCTGTAAATTAAGTCTGGAGTAATGGGACCTCTGGTACAACTCTACCAGTCAAAATAAGACTAACCCATTCTCATTATTTCAGACTTTCCAGAAGTATGAAGAGTTAACCAGGGTTTGTCTTTCATTTGTTTTTCAAATAACACAGCTCTAGTTTTTCCATTCCAGTGGGATTAACCCTGGAATCTTTGAGGCATTGCATCATTCTAGCAGCTTTCTGCTGTCTCAGCTCCATTCCTATAGATGTCTGTGGTCAATATGTGAAAAAGTTGTACCCTAGCATCAGTTTTTAGCATAACAAATTCATCTGAGCTGCACTAACTTATTTTGAAGTTACTGTACCTGAGAAGAAGGGATCCTATTACTATAGATTGCCTTTCTAGCACACTCAGACAACACTCTAGATATTGATCTCCAACTTGCAGTATCAAATCCTGCTTTACTGTAGGAAAAGCATCACTTGCATTTACAAGTATGGGCCCTCTAGGAATTAAGATTCCATTCATGTTGTGCTCCATGTTCTCCTGAAGCTTTCTGCTTTGGCCAAGATCCCGATTTCTCAGCCTTTCCTGTCACAGCTACAAAAGCAAAAACTCAGGACAAAGATAGATGGAAAAACCTCTGTGGCATCAGGGTTCCAGCATTATAAAAAAGATCCAATTTATTGTGTAGCTCCCAGGCTCTTCCAAGGAAAAAAAACAACAACACTAAGTCCTCATAGAAGATAAGACAAATCCATTAGCCCAATTTAGTCACCTAAATCAACAACAATCTTAGTGCTGTTTTAGTTCTGAGTGAAAATATGTGCAATCTGATCCCTAATATCAGAAAATTAATGCACATTCTTATCCACAAAGTATTGGAAGGTACATGTAGTTCACCTTTTTCTCTATGCTTGACTCCTATCAGGACTTACAGCCAAAACACTTTATTTAAAAAACAACAATTGATGCAGTATCACCCCACTGTATCCATAATTTTTCTTACTCTTCTTCACTTCCTTTCTCTCTACAGTCCCTTGGACAAACTCCTCCCTCCTCCTGCTCCAGCTGAGCCTTTCATATCATAGACACTAGGATGTACAGATTAGTAAATTCTGTGGCAAGCTGGCTGGGTACCAAGGAGAAGACAGCATATGGGAGCCTTGCCTGCCCTCTTGCAGTAGGCATAATAAATTGCTTCTGTAAATAAGCTACAACAACAGAACATGCGTGGCATGGACAACACACCCAGCACAGTTTTTGAGTCCACTCAGGAGCCAGGGTAATATCTACACACACACTTATTTCTTCAGAAAGTGTAGCACAAAGTGATGAAATTAAGTCAGAATCAGGGAAACAATACATAGATAAGAACAACCACACGCCAGATGACTTGGGCAGACAAGAGCAGAAGGGTTAGATAAATTGGCTTATTCAGTTCCAGCACAGGAGATGTGTGGTAGCAAGGCTGGGGGAGGAAACAAAGACTGAATACATCTTCAGAGGTAACATGCTATAAGGCTCCAAGTACTGAAACAACGAGGGTGGCAGGGATCCCACTTGTAGGACAAGGCAACCTCTAGCATGACATCAAAAGCAGTCTCATTACATACATTGCTGTACAAGACAACATGCCTGAAATATGTTATTCAATTAAGTTGACGGCACCAACCCTCTGTTTTCCGCCTTCACTTAATCTTAAGAATTGAAAATGACTTTTTTTGTTGCTTTGTTTGTAACATGCAGAAGTGGCATGACAACATTTGATATCATATGCTTTTAAGCAGGAATATCACACTGTGCCACTTCTTCAGGCCAGGCTTCATCCAGAAAACACAGCAGAAGCACAGACAGAAGCTGTATTCAGGAAATACAAATACTTCTTTTGCTTGTATCTTTCTTGCTTGGCTATTGACTCAATATTCCCTATCAAGATATTGAGGTATCAATTCTAGCAATGCAACTCCAAGCATTTTATCAGAGTTGGAAAACCAGGCTCAGACCAGCTACATTCCCCAAACTGTCAGTTACTGGAAGACTTATTTATACGTATTTCACACTCATCTTTTATTAACTACTGTCAGAGAAGATATTGAGCTATGTCAGTTCTTGGTCTGACCAGCGATAGGTTTCCTCTTCTAAACCAAGGCAACAAAAAGAACCAAGGACACAAATCCTGATGGGTCTCAGGCTGAAGTTCAGAAGGGAAGTGACCCAAAAAGGTATTTATTGTTATATTTTGCCTTGCTCACTTCTGAAGTGCTTACACATGTTATTGACAAGCGACCTCATGGCAAACCCAATCACATCATCATTTCCAGTCTTATTTCTATTTTAGTATGCAGAGCTGCATTAAAGTACAGATTTGGGCTGAAAGCTGCATTAGTAATGCAATAGTAAAAAACATTTTAGGGACAGAAAACAATCTCAGTTATTGCAGAGCAACACTCAAACCAAAGCTTTTTCAAGCATGATTTTAGTCTTCACTGAAGTTGCAACAAAAGTCATCATGAGACAACAACAGAACAGAGTTCATGGTACCACCTCTTGTTCTAAATGGAAGACAGACCAAATGCTTCTGCCATCACTCACTTTCCCTCCCTCCAGGTAAGCTAAAAGGCTTACAAAGCTGTTTGTAGAGGGTTTCAAAATACAAATCTAGGCCTAGTCTAGACATATCAATACAGCATCTTCCAGTTTATTGTTGGTCCTTTGAGATTCTTGGATCAGAATGCACTAGAGAAGGTACAGCCTCAATTAAAAAGCCAAAATAGCAGCTTATGAAGACATGAAAGTAGTTCCAAAGAACAGAAGAGTGAACACCACCAGCTGATCATTTAACTTCAATCTGATTTCTTATTAAATATCAGACAAAAAGGGTATTAAGGGATGTGATTAATTCCCAGTTTGGATTATATTAGTTTCAGAAAATTAAAGATTCACACACCCTCCACAATTTTGCATGGCTGTTTCTGGTTTTTAAATCCAGTACTTATTTCCTGTGTTCTGGTGGTGCCCAGGGACAGCAATTCAATCAGATCTGCACTGCACAAAGCACTCTGGCAATTCACAGCAAGAAATACAGTTCCTGTCCCTAAGGATTTCACTGTTTGGTTACACAGTTCAGACCTGCTCCTGCTTACGCTTAGAACTATCTCCATTTCATCTGTCAAGGCTTATAGTTGAACATTCATCATTCACACGCATCCAGATCAAGAGTTCTTCATTAGCTCATCATAGTACACTGCATTACAAGAATCCCAAGACAATCTAGGGGTATCAGTACCTTTGACATACAACTCTTCTGATCATTGCACCGAGTGGCAACATTCACATCATCTTCACACAGCCTGCATTCTACAAACAGTTTATAAACCTCTCTGAACAGCACTTCATCCCACAGCACAACAGCTATGTTTTCAAACATATTCTTATAGCTGACACCTATGCAACACATTAGCCACAGAGTATCTGCAGGAGTAAAAATATTTACTATTCATCTTATTGACTGTTAAAACAAACACTTCATAACGGGTAGTAGCTTTCCACTTCTTCCACATTAACTCAAGCCTGGTGCTCCTTTGTAACAGACATCATCTAGTTCTACTGGAAAGTAGAAGCCCAGTGCAGAAACTACCCTTGAGAGCATCTTCCTGGTCTGACTCTTCAAGTGACACGCAAGTACATTCACAAGCAATTCTGTAACTCGGACATGGGGCAAGAACAAGGACAAAATTGTTCTT